AGTCGTTAAATATATATATATATATGTTTGAAAATGTTCTGTGATAGCTAGAGATGTACAAAGATCAAGTTTTTTTAGTAGTAGTTTTGATTTGAGTAACTTTATTCTTATGATCTTGAACATCTCTAGTAACAACAGAATCTAGGCAATTTTTATATTGAAGACTATATTTTAAAAAAAAATTATCTATCATGAAATTAGGACATGATTTAAAAGTACTTTAGTTTTAATATTAATCATGAATTTGTAAAGATGAACATAGTTATAATATAAATTTTATGTTTATTTAATGATATTTTATCAAGGATATTGACTTCATCAGACTAGTTTATACTAGAAAAAAATTAATGTATACATATTTATGCATAGATTCTATCGTTCAGTGTCATCGTCTTGTTTGTTCCACTTGTTAATAGAACGTGAGAGAGAATGTATGTACAAGAAAATGTACACATACTATCTTTTTTTCCGTCATGTGTATCTTATATTATAAACGAGTCTGATGAAGTTAATATCGTTAACGAAATGTTCCTAAATAAAAATAAAAAAAAATGAAGTAGCAAGAAAACAATTTTTTTTTCTAAATTAAATCGAAATTGATATTAATAATATTTTTTTAAATATTTATCAATAATTTAACTTATCTTTTTTTCGTTTTTTTTTTGATTCTACAGGTAACCGATGAATTAGCGATAGAGTAAATGTGTTCTATTATACAAGGTTATCAATATATAATGCAAAGAATAGAATTGGTTTTTTTTTAGGGTTATTTTCTATACAATAATACTAGTAATTCAAAATATTATTTATCTTCAAGTTAATATCTATGATCAGATATCAAAATAATCAATTATTATCGTCTCGTCCATTTTACACTTTTTTTTTTTTTTGAAAATACTAAGATTTTTTGATATTTTATTTTGTCTTTATTTAAGATATATTGAATGCTATGCATGAGTAATTAAAAAACAAGTTGTCTATGATGTCTTGTTCAAGGTATGTTTTTTTTACCATACAATATCATTCATTCTAACACCATACCGTACTTTTTTTGTATTACTTCCAACAGACAAAAAAAAACCTTCCATAAAACAATACAATATCAAATTCTGTTATTTTTAACATTATTAAATACGTTATAATAACGAATGGATCATGCTCAAATTTGGAAAATTTGCTTGATTACTGGAATTATTCTATTATTAGTTGCTTTTATTCTTGGTATGAATTAAAAAGAAAGAAAAAAAAAACTATAAAACAAAAAATTATTTTTCTTTTCTTAGGATGGATCGGTTTTGGTGTACCTGATTGGCAGAGTTTTCAACTTTATACTGGTTCTGTTGTAGAATATTATGGTCTATGGGCTTATTGTCAAGAACAAACTGTAACATATGGTACAGTTTGCAATCGTTGGTATAGAGCTGAAACTCAATTATTTAATGGAACTCGTCCAACTTTTATTTCTACTTCTGAAGGTCTTATAACCGTTGGAATGATACTTCTTTCATTGGGTCTCGTAGTTGCAATACTTGCTACAATTTTACCTCTTCTTGGTTATGTAGCTTCATTGATCGCACTTATTTCATTTGTTTTTCTTGTTATTGGTTTACCAATATTTGGTCAAGACTCGAATAATTTATCTAGAGCACGAGGTGATGTAACATATAATAAACGTTATGGATTTTGGCTTATGGTACCAACTATTGTTCTTGAATTTCTTGCAATGCTTCTCTTTCTAGCTGCTGCTTTCCTTTATCAACGTTATGGTTATGGTAATATATTCACAGATTCTGATACAGGAGTGAAGAGTGGTTGGCAGGTACTTGGACAGCCTAATATGCTAGTCGGACCACCTCCGAGAGGTTTACCATATGGAATGGGATTACCTCCGATGAATTTACCGCATGGAATGGGATTACCTCCGATGAATTTACCACATGGAATGAGATTACCTGCACCATTTAATCATGATGGTTTTCCTCCTGCTCCATATCCATATTCGGCACCGCATAACCAAGTAGTGCCGTCTTTACTTTCACAATATTGTAATTCACAGTTATCAAGGCCCCTTGGACCTCTTTTAGCACGAAGTATCACTGTGAGTACACTTCCACAACCATGTGTTACTCGAGCTATAGCATCACAACCAATACCTAATGTATTACCAGATTATTGTCGAACTTGTGAACCAGTTGAACCACCTTGTAGATCAATTATAAATTGTACTGGACGAACACTTGTTGGTCCTCTTATGCGTACTTGTTGAACTTGATTTTCTCCTAATGACAATAATTACTCAGGAAGAAACTGATGTTTTTTTTTCTATCTCAACAAAACAAAGAAAAAGAATATTTTTTTAGAATTATTTATATTTAAACTTGCATATTATTACATGTAAGATAATAAAGAACGGGTCTACTAATCATCATAAAGTTCAAAAGCATGAACTTTTTCTATTCCGTAAATAACAGATTATATCTTTCTTCTTTTTTTATGCTTCACAAAATTACAAAGTTAATTATTGCCTTCTTTTTTTTTTTTTGTAGATAGTATATGAACTTGAAACTATGATATATATATATATATATATATATGTATGAATACTATACAAGTAATTATATTGTACATGTCATACAATAGTCGTGTGAAATATGAAGAAGAAAAAAGAAACAAAAAAGGCATCAAACAATTCTTAATGAATAGTGTATGTAATCATCAAATAAGAATCCATATAAAAAATAACAGAGTAGTAAAATAGAACATTATTGTCAGTTAGGAATATATATATATATATTTATTTATATGCCTACTTCATTAGAGAAAGGAAATAGAAATTTGACGCGTAGGTGTACCTGTTATGCGAGAGAGTATGCTTAGCATTTGAGGATCAACAACAGTCAGATGAGAAAAAAGAGAAAGCAACTGACACAAATGCTATATTTTTTTTCTAATGTCGTTTTTCTTGCTCATTCACCTTCACATGTGCATTTGAGCATCTCATACTATTAGAATAACTCGGTTTTCTATGGGTAATGTAGCATGTCTATTATGCTTTTTCTTTTCTATTGATATTGATGAGTTTTTAGACCCTTCTTTTCTCATTTTCTTATATTAGCCGCTAGATATCAATGATAATTTGATGCTTCTATAATAATGATTTTCTTTCTTTTTTTTTTTTTTTTTTGTTCGATTGAATATTTTGAATATAAATGAGAAAAACTTACATATTTTTTTCATTATCTGCTCGATTAAGAATAGATTAATAATAAATATTAAGTATTTTTTTATAGAAATATTTCAGGTTGTATTCATATGATTACTATCAATGTCATTTAGAATGCTTCTTCTTTATTCTAACAGATATTATTTATACAAACTGATTTTAGTACTCGATCTTTCTTATTTATTTATTTTCTTTTGTTTTTTTTCTTGGCTTTCTATTTCCATCATTTTCATGAACTGTCATTGAATATGGCAATAGTATATTGTCAATTCAAAGTATACTCAGATGAAACAGGGTGTTCATTATTAGTCACGACAATCATCATGATTTTTTTCTTTCTCTTTAATTGTCACACAATCCTTCTTAGATTTATATCTTGCGCCTATCTTATATATTTTATATATATATATATACCTATCGATATAGTTCTATAATGAACATAGTATATCATTAGGAATAGTAGATCAGGGAAACGAGGAAGCCCGATAGTCAGTTGTTTTTTTGTTTAAGCGATGCTATTCATTTTTGCTTTTGTCAATAAATTTACTGTATCTTCAGGGATTAGCTGATGCAAAGAAACAATAGAAATACAACTAATATATTTTATCGTTCTTTCTTTCTCTCTCTCCCTCTCTACATATATATATATATATACCTATCAACACATCGATCATATTTTAACTCGCAATTTTAATTATTGAAGAGTTTCAAGAGTTTGATTTTGCACAATAGTTATAAAGTTAACGTGTATGATTCTCGATAAAAATTTGCATATTATTTATCAAATGGAATATGTCTGCTGAAAATTGTATAAATATTATTGATTTCTTTTTTTTTATTTTGGCGTCTTTTTGTTGTCCTTAGGCAATATTGAATACATAATTAACAATGATGTGGCATACAAATGAATTTTTCGGAAAGGAAACACATCTCGATAAATGAATTAATCAGCTGTTTTTTCGTTATTCTATTGTACGATCGAATGCTAAATTATTGAGTATGTCACGGCTGAACGGTTGCGCAAGATGGCCGAGAAAATTGAGTATGGGAATATATATCCATATTTTGCCTTTTTTTTCTTATTCTGAGTATCATCTTTCTTCGTTCGATTCTCGATGATAGAAATAGAAATAAGATTAGCTCGCAAGTGTCTATATGTGCACGCTAATATTCTCGTTTGGTTAGCAAGTGCTATTAATGAAATCTCATTTTTCAAGTTATGCTCTTTTTTTTCTTTCTGTGTTGGAAGAAAAGGATTCATTCATTGTGCTCTTTTTCTATCTGTGTCTCTTGTTTTTGTGTTGGAACGAAAGAGAGTAGATAGAAAATGGTTTGCCAATCTTTCGATATATGTGTTGCCAAAGGCAAATGTCCTTGACACTGGCTAGGCGGCACGATCAATGATGTGATATATTGGGCAACGACACGTTATCAAGTATCTTTTTTTTTTCTATCTAACCAACGAAGTATAAACGACGATTAGGAAATTCTTAGTACGCATGCAATAGTTAATCATCGGAAAAAAAATATAACTAAAACTAAGAGTGTAAATAACAATTGTTTTGGAACATGAGAAAACAAAAAATAAGAATAAAAATTTCTATTCGAATTCTTTCTTTGGAATGTGGGTTAATGTTAACATGAACATTATGACATTTAAAGAAATTTTCTAATAATATACTTTTTGTTTTTTCGAAATAATTCTACTTTATAATTGTATCTATTCATAGGTTTTCTTTGGTGTTGGTTTTTTTTTTGCTTCTAGAAAAAAATAACTATGGTAATTACTACAAATCATTGGATTTCATCTGATATTAATAATAATAATAAAACAAAATATTTAATACAATTTACTCATGATTATTATAATTATTCAGATTTATCACAAGAATTTAAACCTGTGTGGATTAGTTTATCATTGATTAGTAGTAAGTAATAGAATTGTTTTGAATAGGTTGAGTACTTCGTTTTTGTTGTTTTTTTTCGTTGAAAAAAATCAGAGTTCAGTGATTTATGGAGATTAAGTTAAGTATTTTTAGATTCTATAAGAATGTCATAATATATAAAAATAATTAACGATTCTGAATATCAAAAGAAATCTAGAAATCAAATGATAAAGAAAATGTCACATGCAAATATCTTGAGGATGAACAAAAAAAAGATCGCCTTTGTTATTGAAATAAAAATTTCTATTTATAGATTAAATAAGATGAAAAGTTTATTTTGAATATCTAATAAAAAGAAAGTTTTTTTTCTTGAAAAATTTACATTAGGAAATAATATTTAGAAAATTTATGAACTTCATTATAGATCAGAGAAAGAAAATGAAGCATAAGTATTCTTTACTATCTATGAATAGAATGAACAAAAAAAGAAATAAGTTTTCAAGATTAGTAATATGATGCATTGCTTTAGAAGATCCTGATTAAAGACTTTGTCTATTATATGCACACCTACACTTTAATATATGAAAACTTTTGAAACCAAAAAAAATTATTTTCCATATTTATGTTTACTGCGAAAAAAAAAATATAACAAAATCTGATTTATCCTTTTCATGATAGAGGAATTTTAATGATCTATTGGGATTAATTTTGATAATTAAATTCTACTTTTAATTTAAAAAAATTTTTTTTTTTCTTAGTTATTATATTCACTGTTGGTGGTAATAGTCTTGTTTGCATTGCTGTTATACGTGATAGAAGTTTACAAAATACAACGAATTATTTTTTAACATCACTTGCATTTACTGATTGTCTTGTTGCATGTCTTGTTATGCCATTAGCTGTTACTATTGAATTTATTGGACATTTTCCATTTGATGCATTAGCTTGTAATGTTTGGTCGACATTTGATGTTTGTTGTTGTACATCATCAATTTGGCATATGAGGTAAATATGAAGATTTTTTTTTTAATTGATTATTTAAATATATTTTTTTTTTGAATTTTATTTTTATCTTAGTGTTATGTCACTTGATCGTTATCTTACATTAAGATATCCATTAAAATATGGACGACATAAACGTCGAAGTTTAATGGCATATAAAATCATAACAATATGGTTAATATCGTTTGCCATATGTTTACCATTATTTATTCTTAGTCTTGTTGATTCATCAAATGTATTTGATGAAAAAAGTCGTGGATGTTTTCCATCGAATCGCATATTTAAACTGTATGGTACATTTGTTGCTTTTTTTATACCATTAATTATTATGATTGTAACATATGCACTAACAATGTCTGCATTACGACAAGCACATACAACAAAAAAAAAACGTTATAAAGGTCGAAAAAAAATTCATGCTGTTATGAATATTGCTGCGATGGCTGTTCGATGGAAACGAGCTGTTAATAATGTTGAAATATCATCAACTGAAAAACAACAACAACAACAACAACCATCAATTATATCTGAACAAGAAATTCAACCATTAAATAAGAAAATGCCTGTAAATCATGAACGAAGACGTGCATCATCATTACGTACACATGTCAATTCACAAAAACCTCGATTTACATCAAGTCAACGTTTAAATGAATCTTTAAAAGCATCATCATCATCACCATCACCATCCATTAATTGGCAAGAACAGAGAGACAAAAAATTAGAATTATTACCAGAAAAATCCAGTAAGAGAGAAAAAAAAATCATATTCTATTATCATTATAATTACATATGAATTCTTTCTCTTTTTTGTTTAAGCTGAACAATCATCAGATCAACATTTAAATCCAAATTGTTCAAATAATATACAGATACATACAAAACGTTCTCATTCTTGTACACCATTACTTGATGTTGAACATATTCATAATAATCAACGACGAAGTTCATCTATTCATACACTTTTACAAATTCGTCGAGATTCAGCAAAAATAAGTGAAGAATTAGCTAATTTAAGTGCTCAATTATCAGCATCAATGAATAATAATGAAAATAATAATAATAATAATAATAATAATAGATCAATAAGTAAACGTCCTTCACTTTCTGTTCCACGAACAATAGGTTTCGATGAATATGATACACCAACAATAGATCAATTACTTGCAGAAACAAGTGTTAATCAACCAATTATTATTCAAACATCATTACTTACAGTTGCTCCAAAAAAACGTCAACGATCGTAAATTAATTGAAATTTTCATAATTTCGATTGGTTTCTGTTTTTTTCTTTAAGACATAGTGCTGATATTCGTTTACCAATATTTGATTCAAATGATGATAAAACAACAACAACAACAACAACAATGATAAATTTACCAATTCCAAATGTTCTTGTTACACATGATAGTATTTCAACAACTTCAATAGATAATCTTCAACAATCAACACCATCATTAACATTTGATAAAACATGTCAACGCATTAAAGATTGGATTACAGTTACAACATCATCAACAGCTCTTAATATTGATCATAATTCAACAATACCAATACGTTGTACATCAGCTATTCATATTACAGAAAATACACCAATGTTAATAAAAAATCAATATTATCCAGAATTTACTAATCTTAAACGATATGATACCGGTATTGAACAATTATATGGACAAACAACAGCACCAAATTTTCTATCACGTCCTCAACAACTTTTACTTGTTGATGATCATGTTTCATCAGCTCAAAATTTTGCTTCTCTTCAACGTAATAGTATTGGTTCAATAGCATCATCAATGTTAAAAGCTCGTCTTCTTCGAAATAATCGACCAAGTACAACATCATCAATTGGTTCATCATCTTTACAAGGTATAAAACGTCAACGTCCACCACGTCTTATTGATGGAATGTCACAAACTAGTTTTCAAATGGTTTCATTAGATACTGAAGATACATCATCATGTACATCAAGTCTTACTCAACATTCAATTCCTATACAATCAGCAATGGCAGGAACCAATGGTTCAGTATCATCTACTACACATAAAAGACGTCAAAGATTTAAAGATTTAGCTAAAAGTTCTATAGGTAATGAACGTAAAGCCATGCGTGTATTACTTATTATTTTTTCAATATTTGTTATATTATGGACACCATTTTTTGTTATTAATCTTCTTTCATGTTTTACAACGAATATTCATCCAATTTTAATATCAATTACAACATGGCTTGGTTATTGTTCATCATGTGCAAATCCAATTATATATACTATATTTAGTCGAGCTTTTCGTCGAGCTTTTGTTAATACGTTAACATGTCGAAAAGTAATTCATTCACATCGTCCATCATGTCATTCAATGGTTAGGTCAACTGGACGAAAATTTTCATCACTTAAGAAAGGACAAATCGATCAATGTTAATACTAATTATATGTTTTTATTGTGTTAAAAAAAAATCTTTCTATACATTAGAATTCTTTCTTTTGTTTTTTTTTCAAATGTCAGATTTATATGTTATTGTTTATTTCATTCAAATTTCTCTATTATCATTTAATTAAAAAAAAAAATTTAAATATTTTTGTATTACTACTGAAATGATATTAGAAGTTCATAGATCCCCTTGAGAATATCATTGAAAAAGAATCAAAGCAAAGCAAAGCAAAAAAAACAAAATCATGTTTAGGCTAATGATATGATGTTAATTTAAGCAGACAAATTGATTAAAAATTTTCTTTATGAAAATGTTTTTTTCTCAAATAATTCATGAATATAATTCTATGAAAGCTTGTATTACGAAGAACAAAAAATAGATTTGTATAATTTTAAATTTTGTATCGATATGTTAAGAATCAGTATCCTCTTTTTAGTTAAGTATTCTTTGATGAAATATATCGGGTAAACATTTTCACTTAATAATAGATTTGAAAGAGCAGCTGTCAAAAATAATTATTAAGAAAATCTTGCCCCAATATAAAGCATCATAAATATAGATAGATTGATCTGACATGATGTTCGTGTTTCATGGTAGCTTCTTCATTGGAATGACTATTGAATATAATGAATTTTTATCTATTATAAGTAACTCATGAATTTCAGAAAAAAAAAACATAAACTATTTTCTCTTTAATATATACCGGATTTTGTTCGATTTTTTTTTTTGGTTTCTTGATTTATTTTGAATTGATATAGACGTTGAAATAGGTTTTTGAGTGTAATCTAGCAAAGAAGAAATTTACAATCAAGTTTAAATATTCTTCAACTTGTATCAATTTATAAATTATGTATCTGTGCAGACACTGAGAGACAGTAATAAAAAAAAATAATATTATGAATGAATAACTCCACCAAATTTTGCTAGTAAATGATCCTTGAAATGTCTTTTGATGTCTGTAATTTATTGCTTTTTCTATAAATTGTATCATAATAAGTGAGATATTAAAGAACGAAGTATATTTCATACATCAGTTTATGTTATACCAAACAATTAATACTAATCGATTTATAAAGCTTACACTCTTCTATCGAATCGATCATTATATAGAGAAATTGAAAACGAAAAGTCAAGATATAAATAGCTTATTATAATATTTCTGAAGTTGCATGATATTTTCTTGATATTCCAAAACAGAACAATAATAATGTTTTGACTAAAACAAGCAATATAACTATACTTGATCGAACTATTTCTTATGGGAAATATCTTTCATCTGTATATGTATCATTGATATCACCTAAAGCAATTGAGGTACTTTGGATTACATGATGGTGACACATATGGTTCTAAGTTCATGATTGTGTTTTTATGTCTTTCTACATTTTCATTTTCATCAACGTAGAATAGTGTTCTTTGATTTGAATAAAAAAAATACATACTATGAAAAGCAGAGAATCTTCCAGAAAACCCATGAAAAACTTTAGAGACTTTGAAAGTAATAAAATTTACTATTTCTTTTTAAGAAAAGGAAACTCCTACTCGACAATACCCGACCTCTACAGAGTTTGGCAACATGTTCAATTCCTTTCTCTATCCATTTGTTTACTACTGAACGTGTTTTTCAAAAAACTTTGATTCATGTTTTTTTTTTGTGTGTAGTCGATCATACGATTCTTCTTATATGTAGAAACATAAAATTCTTCAATATGAAAGAAAGAAGAAAAAGAAAAGAACATTTGTTACTTTTATTTTTTGTTTGAAAAGTTTTAGTTGAATGCATGATTGATCGAGTATAAGAAAAAGAAATCTTTTCGTGTTTTGTTTTTTTTTTCTATTTTTAATAGATAGAAACAAGTTGCTACTAATCGTTGACATTGAAATTTATTCCTATTAATTTTTCTTATATTTTAATAAAGATGAGTGTTAATAAAAATCGTTCGAATACAATTTATTTAAATCAATTAATAACAAATATTCCTGTACGACGAAAAATAGTCGATCATAATGATCGAGATAAATTCGAATGGAATCAAGTATGTATGAAATATTCCTTTGAAAATTAATATTAATTAGATTCTTTTTCTATCTAGTGGCAAAGTGCAACAAAATCAATTAATAATGTTGAAGTATCACCGAAAGAAAAACATGTTAGAAGTAAGAAATCGAAGATAAATGTGTTTTTTTAGGAAAATATCGTTGAATTTTAGATCTTATTCTTGGTACATTTCGATTAGAAGGTTCTCGTCTATTTTGGACAATGATGACTAGAATTAATATTGAATCACATCCGATTATTACTTGGAAGTTTTGTTATATTATTCATCGACTTTTAAGAGATGGACATCAAAATGTAGGTTATTAATTTAATGTATTGAAAAATGTAGCACGATATTATAAAGGTTTGAAAGGTATCTTCTATAGTGTTTGTTTCAAACATTATAGATATTTCATAAATCTAACGAATATATAAATGAGTTGTAACACATATTCGTTTGACTATATAATTGAAGCATTGATTAAGATAAATGAATGATCTTAATTGGTTAAGAGTAGACTTCAGTACTCTAAAACAACTGGTTTTTTGTGAAAGGAGTGTTGAAGTATGTAGGATAGAAATTTGAACTCATTCGCCCTTCTTCCACAGACCGTATATCGACAATAGCTCGTTACAACATACTCGCTACTTTCTAATTGCGTTTCTGGAGGATTAAGTAAAAGAACGGAGAAGAAATGTGTCTCAGGATGTGTAGAATAAAACAATCTTCCTTTGATTAGTAACAGTAGTGACAGCGCATGTCACATTGTAATCCTGCAGAAATTGCGCTAACAGCTTTTTATAAATACACGTTTTCCAGTAACTAAAACATAGAAGAAAATAACAAAAATGTCCTCGAAGACCTTAAGAATCATCGCTTGCAATTAATTAATAAAAACAGATGTATTTTATAAATTGAAATATTATACTACAAGTTCCATTGTTTTTACTGCCTATAGCTTATATTAAAAACTTTTAAGACAAAAAACTAAACTGATTGAAATCACAATAAAAAAAATCTTTTTTGAATGCTTACGCACAAATTTCTTTTGGATTTCTATATTTTGTATGAATTGATAATACTATGAACAAACGTGCAACATGGGAAATAAATTGTATTTTTCTATTGAGACTTCAAGTCGTAGAAACTAAACAATGAATCAGTTACAATATTTCCGTTCCAATTAGGTTTTACTAATCTTTGAACGTCATTTAGGTCATTCGCGATTCCATTCTATTAACAAGTTATTTTGATCAATTAAGTAAATATTGGGTAAGTTAATTTCAACAGCGATTTATATACATCTCTCGGCAAAAGTATTTTTACTCCATCTCATTTCTTTATTTTCAATAATTGCTTCCTTTTTATTATTGAACTAAAGTATAACAAAAGCATTTTATTGTAATATGATGTATAGTCATCATTGACTTCAATCAAGCATTGCACTCGTCTTCCCATACTATCGATCAATTTGACATTCAGGGTTAATTGAGAGTGCTTTCCATGTCTTTCTTATTTCTTGTTTGAACTCTTGAATTGTTTGAATTTTTTTTACTGATGATATCTTTTATCATCTACCAAACGTTTTCAATTTGAATTTTGATTTGGTGATGAATAGGGTCGAGACACAACCTGAATTCGATTGGTAATTGCCAGACGAGATCTGTATTTAGAATCAGTATCCTCTTGAAAGATCCAGTTAGTTGGATCTTAAGACTATTGCACACAAAATCTCCTGTCAAATTATGTTTGAAAATAATTAATTGTTCAAAATCTTGTTTTGAAATACATTCTCAATTGTAGAACTTGAGAGGATATTTAACTGTAAGAACAATTTTTGTGACATCTGAAAATTGCCAAACTTTTCTTCCGCTCATCGGTAAAAATTACATTGTCTTAATTGAAGTTTTGGTGCTGTCGAGTCTAGATAAGTTGTCACTCAAGATAATTGTCTGTAAGTAAGGACTTTTTTTACAGGTAGACCGTAACTGCCTTCGCTTTTACGTAATCAATGTCTAACAGTACTTGGATGTACATTCATATCGGCTTCTTTCAGAGTTTCTGAAATATCGTTTAATGTAACATTCAGCTCACATTTGGCCGTATAAACAATCTTTTTACTATCTGGTAAGCCAATGCCGTACGATTTTTGATTCATACCCAATGTACTTTGAAATAACTTTATTTAACATTTTAAGACCCAGAGCATGTAATGTTATACATTAGTTCGATAATAAAAAGAAAGCAAATATTGAGAATTTTAAAAAAAAGGGGGAATACTTTTGCCCACAGTTGTATATATATATATTTAGAATGGGTCATAAGTAACCCTATGATAATTAATTGAAATATCTCGAAATCGGTTCATTCAAATGGGTTGATCTTTCTTCATTGATGGTAGAAATTTTTTTTTCATTTGTATTGCTTCAAAATAATATTCCGTTGCTACCTGAGAGAATAGAAAAAGAACATCTCACAAATTCCATCATTTTCTCGTTATGGCTCTTGAGAAATTGCCTATTTCTATGAAAAATATTCTTCTTTTTCCAACAGTGAAAATGGTAGATCTCTATCAAAAGTTATTAAAAAAAAATGATCACATGAATTATATTTTGGCGCCAATGGCAGCTAGTTTAAATGTTGAAATTCATGTTCAATAATTAAAATACACAATTGAAGCCTTTCAGACTAGAGATCGTCCGGTTGGTTTCGATCTGAAAATTTTGAACCCAACGAGTTCTGTTTTAGGTACTAAATCGCTAACTTCACGCTTGAAAATTCGAAATGTAAAATTTCTTTAATGAGGCCAATAATAGTTGTATTTGTTTACATTAATCATATGAGGAAAAAAAAAACTTTGCATAAACCGAAATGGAGATATGTTAATTATTTCTCGTAGTA